TTTGAGCGGGGGCAGGGGGTCATTATCCTAAAATTCAGCCTCCTAGACTCCGTGGTTCCCGAGATATTAACTTACCCGTAAATAACCTTCACGGGGCCGTACGTATTACCCACGGGTAAGGGAAGGCTGATTTCGAATGGGAGGGTTGAGGGTGGGCAGGGGGTCATTATCCTAAAACTTCAGCCTCCTTGACTCCGTGGTTACCCATAAATAACCTTCACGGGGCCGTGCGTGTTACCCGCGGATAAGGGAAGGCTGAATTTGAATGGGCAAGGTTGAGGGTGGACAGGGGGTCATTACTCTAAAACTTCAGCCTTCTAGACTCCGAATTCCCGAGATATTAATTTACCCGTGACTTACCCGTGAAAAACTTTCACGGGGCCGTATGTATTACCCGCGGGTAAGGGAAGGCTGAATTCGAATGGGCAAGGTTGAGGTTGGGCGGGGGTCATTACCCTGAAACTTCAGCCTTCTAGACTTCGTGGTTCCCGAGATATTAACTTACCCGTAAAAAACTGTCACGGGGCCGTACTTGTTACCCGCGGGTAAGGGAAGGCTGATTTTGAATAGGCAAGTTTGAGCATGGGCAGTGGGTCATTAACCTAAAATTTCAGCCTCCTAGACTCCGTGGTTCCTGAGATATTAACTTACCCGTAAAAAACTTTCACAGGGCCGTACGCGTTACCCGCGGGTATGGGAAAGCTGAATTTAAATTTGCGGGGTCACACGTGGGTGGGGAACGTTACCCTAATTTTCAGCTTCCTAGCTTTTGTGGTTCCCGAGTTGAAAGTTGCGGACAAGTTGCTGCGTACACACACACACACACAAACACACACAACCCCGTAACAATATGCGTTTTGTACTGCTGTTACACAGCACAAAGCCATAAAAAATACTTGACAGGGTAAAAATACCTGTAGATCCAAAAATGCCGAGAAAACTCTACCTCATTTTGTTTGTCTAATTTTCGATGACATGCATCACCTTCGGTCCCATAATTATGGTCGAGATGAAGTCGACTTCGAAATTTTTGGGCTGTTCTGGTCTTACTCGAGTGGAATTCGATAAAATTGTCCCGTTAATTTTTATTTTTAAATCCAACTTTATTTATGAATTCTGTATAACCAACATTCATACTTAGGGATAGGAGCGGATAATTCTGGAAGAATTGAGGGAAATTTTATGTCTCTAAGTTTTTTTTTGCGATAAAATTTTCTTTTTTTCATCTTGCATGCTTGAACATGTCCTGGGATCATAATTTCGTCGCATATTTGAACAAATCACGCGTTGTCTAGGTACCAGGCCCGGAAGAAATTGGTGAAATCATGGTTTTGTTGCCAAAAGTTTTGGGCAAATTTTGAAAATCCTTGGGCGAATAAACCTGGTAATAGAAGAATAATATTGTTTGAGAAGTGGAGATTTCCGGCCGTCGGGTACAAAGATGGCTTTATTTCGTCTTAATTTCTTTGCTTATTTGAAATAGAAGAATTTGGCTTGAATATCATATGTATGAAGACATTTTATGATGCAGTCTGTGTTTCATCCCTTAGCTGTAAGCACAGGCCGAACTATGAATTCGTGTAGGAGTTGGGGTCACCGGAGTGGGGGATACTTCCGGCCTCGTCGCACCTTGCGTGAAGTCACTTTACGACCATACTGGCTGCTTAGGTCGGCAACGAAGTTGACTCCCGGAGGATAGGCAGATCGTGTTTCGTCCCCCCAAATTTTGAGCCTTCGCTGACTCTCGTGATCGGCAGCATGGGCGACGCTTACCTCAAACACAAGTATTTCCGAGGCCCCGTTGTTGAAGACAACAATGTCTGGACGCCGGTGGACCATCGGGACTTGTGTCGGAATGGCGGTATCCCAAATCAATTTGGCCTTGGTGTTCTCCCGCACCGGGGTTATCTGGTTTGTGTGGTGGATGGGTGGGAAGCCGTAGTGCTGGCAAAGCTGAAAGTAGAGGTTTCTGGCAACACTGTTATGCCTTTCGACATACAGGTTGCTCAGCCAGCGCGAACATCGGCTTGCGATGTGGTCGGCTTTTTCCTCTTCGCGCCCGCATATACGGCATTGGGTGAAGCCGTTTGGGCCTGCGGTCCGAGTTCTAGTGGTAAGGGCCTACTCTTGTACTGATGATAGCCTCTTAAAAAATTTACAAGCCACCTTATTCTCAAATCCGTGGAATGCGAGGGCCCATCGGCTTATCAGACGAGTAGAAGTCTTTAGAAAGCGTCTTTTAAATCACGATCTAGCAGCCTGAGTTCGGGAGAGGAAAAGGTCTGTGTGCTGAGGTAGTTTTCCGAAATTTTTTTGATTTTTTTCGATTACAAATTTTTTTGATAACAAAAAATTTTCGATAACAATCGTTTCAGGGGGCATGGGACATATCTGCGCGATGATCAACTGGTAGCATCAGTGGCTGGCGCTGTTGAACAGGTCAACAAACTCGTTTCGGTACGACCAGTGAAAAGCAGGTATTTTTAGTAATTTTTCGTTAGGAGATAACTTATCATCCCTGATTGTCCACGTATTTGTTAAGCTCTTTGGACTGGTGGCTACTATTAAACCCTGTTATCACTCGGGTAAATTTCCGGGCAACTCTGCTGCCAT